ACGCTTGAATGCGGTATGGCATAAGCGCACGGCGTTTACAGTGCTAACTCGGTATCTGTGCAGTTATGCAGAGACGCTCATACATTACATCAAAGCCAACACGGGCGCCGGCATGTTCGCCATGGGAGACGCCATCAAAAACTCGGGCCTCGTGCTGGGCCCGTCGCTCATAGCCGTCGTCGGGACCATCTGCGTGTTCGCCCAGCACCTGTTGGTGAGTCACAGCCGCGGAACCTTTTCTCTGGCCGGAACACACCCAGCAGCAGAGTCATGGCACACGAGTTTTTACCACTTTCCTCATTTTCGAATCAAGAAGTTTTTGCCTGAGATTTTTCTCTACGTCTACTTTTGAGTGGAAAATGAGATCGAAAGTGCGACTTCCAGATCAACGCCTCGGCGCACGCTGCCCAGCGCCTACGGCTGGCCGTGCACCCCGACTACCCCGAGACGATGCAGTACAGCTTAGAGGCCGGGCCCTGGCTCTTCCCACGATGGGCAGTCGCCGGCAGGAAGACAGTCTACGTCTGCCTCGTGTGCACCCAGCTCGGCTTTTGCGCCGTCTACTTCATGTTTGTCGCCTCCAACATGAAGCAGGTGCTGGACCAGTACCTCCCCGCAATCGACGTGCACGTCTACATGGCCATGGCGCTGGCGCCGATTCTCCTCGAATGTTGGGTCCGGAGTCTCAAGTACCTCGTGCCGTTCTCGCTGGTCGCCAACGCCTGCATGTACGCGGGTAAGTGCGCGGGGCGTGAGTGGTGGTCATCGTGGAGCCCGACCCCCCGAACACGCGAAGCGGCCTGCCAGCCTCCCTCACGCCTGCTATCCGGTGCCGCAGGGATCGCCATCACGCTGTACGTGTGCGTCCGGGACGGGCTGCCGCTCCCGGCCGACCGGAGCCTGTTCGCCGACGTCAGCCGCCTGCCGCTCTTCTTCGGCACGGCCCTGTTCTGCTTCGAGGCCATCGGGCTGGTTCGTACACACCACAGAGAAGCATACCGGTGCTGCACCAGAATACCCCAGTACCATGGATTTAAGAAAGACGATCTTTGCAGACGATGGCGCTCAAGAACGAGATGCGGAACCCGGACGACTTCTCCCGCCCCTTGGGCGTGCTCAACGTGGGCACGGCCTTCATCGGCGTGCTGCTCATCACCCTGGGCAGCGTCAGCTACATCAAGTACGGCGAGGACGTCCTCGCCCTCATCCCCCTCAACTTTGATCAGTCGGACGTGTGAGTGTCCGCGGTGATGTGGGGTAAAGGTGCCCTTACCGCCTACTATCCTCAGCGCGTCTGACCGGGTGTCTCTGTGCCGCAGGCTCTGCCAGGTCATCAAGGTGGGCCTGTGCATCGGCATCCTCTTCACGTACCCCATCCAGGCCTTCGTCCCCTTCGAGATCATGTGGCCTGCAGTGGAGAGGCGCTTCCGGCCGCTGCGGTACCCCGTGGCCGCCGAGCTAGCCTTCCGGTCCGCCGTCGTCCTCCTCACGTGTGCGTTAACCAGGACCCAGAGCGCTGCATACGCGGACAGCTCCGCGACGGCGTTGTGAACCGAGAGTGTCTGTTGCAGTCGCGCTGGCCGAGTCCATCCCCCGCCTGGGACTCTTCATCTCTCTGCTGGGCTCGGTGTCGTCGGCCTTCCTCGCGCTCATCTTCCCCCCGCTGATGGACTGGTGCTGGCGGTGGCGCCACGGCGCGCCCGCGTGGCGCCACGCCACCAACGCCGCCATCCTCCTCCTCGGCGTGTTCGGCGGCTCGTGGGGCGCGTACGCCGCCCTCGTCGAGATCGTCGACGCCTTCGCCAAGGGCGAAATGACAGTCAGCTGACTCCCATGACAATCACGCACAGCTCAGAATCTTTTTATACGAAATGTTCTCTTTTCTCTATAGGATAACGATGAAATAAAAACACAAAAGGGAACGCAAGACCACTCCTGTCATCCCAAGACTTTAGAAACAATTTGTCACATTTTATAAACAAGGTGATATTTGAGTGAGTAAAATATACTGAGGGAGAGTGTAGCCC